CTCTCTCTCTCTCTCTCTCTCTCTCTCTCTGTGTGTGTGTGTGTGTGTGTGAAATTGATGAAGTGACTACATATTGGAGTTTTGTCATTATCGGGTATGCTATTAGTTGCATACTTCGTACAATAACCTTTAGAAAGTTGCCCAAAATTTCTAAAAACTTGAAGGTATATTCAAGCTCCTCTCCTTTCATGAGGGAGTTCGATCTCTCTTTAAATTCAAGTCTACGAAAGATTTTAAACTATTTTACAATGGAGGCCCATGCTTTATCAATGGTTGACCATTCATAATAAATGGGCACTATGATTTAAATGAATAAAGGAAGACTTTAAGGACATTTCCATATGGGTAAAGGCCTCGGCTTTACTCGATCTATGTCGTTGGAATGAGAACAATATATCCAAAATCATCAGTACATTAGGGGCCCTTTAGCTATTAACTCCCTCACAACTTCAAAATCACAACTTGGAATTGTTAGAGTAAGCATTTAGATTTCCACCCAATCCATTCTGACTCATCATGTTATGTTGAATCTTCATTGGATGGAGATTAAATAAAATTGTATATATGAATTGAAGCCCAACTATTGCCCTATATGTGATATCTTCTTGCATGAATGCACGAACTACTCATCAAATCCTAATTCTTCCGTGCAACATACAAGTTAAAGCCTAAACAAGAATAGAAGCTCTTGTCATGCTAGACCTAATTAGTGTAATCCTAGTAGGGCTTATGTCTCCTTCACCCTAAATATCACACCAAATTTTAATATACCCTTGGGCTTTAACAACCCAAATAAAACCTCCTCTGATCACCCTCCATCTAATGTAATTGAACTAATTTGCTCCTCCTTTCTCTTTTCCTCTCCCTTTACATATTGAAATTTTGCATTTATGATGATTTTTCCATGCTTTTGGCTCTTATTTAATGGAGCATTACTTCCAATCAAATATATTTAACTCTCCTATCTTTATTTTTTATCATGATTTAATAAACTTTTGATAGTTATCTTATTCAATGTTGAATAAATGACTACTTATCATACATATATTTATTATCATTTAGACAGTAACAGTCATTTATCAAATGATTTTATAAATATTATCAAAATTTTATTCTCAGAAAGTGAAAAAATATATCATTCTCTAAGTTAATTACATGACAAGAGATTGAAGAAATTGTGCAATCCATTTTAAAGGAGATACATGAATAAGTTGGTATAGCTAGGTAGATCCTCAAGGTGATGGCGGTGATCAGGACAACGACAATGAAGTTGATGATAATGATGATAGTGATGAAAACTAGCTTGTTTTTATTTTTTTTTTGCTAAATTGAAGTTGTATTTATGTCATATGAAAAAGAAAAATGCTACGATTATTGTATATTTTATGGTTTATAATCAATAATTTTATGAGAAAATTTTTGTTTAGGTTGTCATATAAGTTTGTCATTTCTTTACTTATTTACACTATGTACAGAGGGATTGCTTCATGTGAATTCATACCAAATTTATGTGTATATTGTCATGGGTTCATTTGTATGTTTACAAGTGTAAAATTTATAGAAACCATCAAATGCTTTCTATTATGTAGCTAGGTGTTTGTGACAATTGTTATCGGCAACAATATGTCTGGAACTCCATGTTATCAAACATTTTGCATGCAACAACATTTTTTGTGATGATAACTTGTTGCAACATATATTCTCAACTTGACAAATCTTGTACCAAAATATTCACCATGAGCAATTCAGTGAACATTGTTTTGACAGGTTGGTCGGGCACATGCAATACTTTGCAAATAGTTTTATGATGCTAATGAGGTTCGCTAAATGCTATTTATCGTGTAGTAATAGATGCAAAATTTCAAAATTTTTATAATAATTTTAAACATAAAACACTTGCTTCTTCAATAAAGTTTAAGAAAATAAAATCTACATTTTTAATAGTGTTCTCTCCTTGTTCTAGAATTTAAAAAAGTTTTTACAGTGGGCCTTTCTCTTGTGTTTTGCTTAGCCAATAATCATATAGATTAATGAATTTATTTTGCATCATTTTATATATAAACATTAGATAATTAGGAGAGAGGATAACATATTTAAATTATAAATATAAAACATAACTTAGTGTGAATACTTTTGACTTTAAATTCCACATGATGTGCATGATTAGACAAATATCTCCACTATATATAAATTAATTTATAGAAAGATGCTTGCAATTTGCAAGTTTATTTTAAATAAAATTACTCTTTTAATAGTAATAGAAAGCATAAAATTGTGAATGCTCGAATGAGATACTTGCTCAAACATCACTTTAAAGAGCCATCTATATATTTCAAGCAACACTTATCTTCAACCTTGAGCGATCCTTTTGTAACAAAACTTGATCACAAACCTCTTCAAATGGATA